TGTAGGGATTCTCGTCGTCCGGTGTCGTTCGCGTTGTTGGGGTCTTTGTTTGAGCATTTGCGGACTGTGTGTGTTCTTCGGATTTTGAGGTGGTTTTATTTCGGGCTGCCTTTGCGGTGGCTTTTTTTGGGGCTTTGCGGATTGGGGAGCTCGTTAGTCCGTCCAAGTCGGTTCTTGGGGGGTTGTTGGCGGAGGAGGTTGTGTGCTCCGGTGATTGGGTGGAGGTTCTGGTCCATCGGTCTAAGACGGATCAATTGGGCAGGGGTGCGAAGGTGCGTTTTTTTCGCTCTTCCGGGTTCACTGGTGTGCCCTGTTCAGGCGGTTCGGGAATTTTTGTCCCGTCGCCCTGGGGGGCGGGGGTCCTTTTTCAGGCATGTTGATGGATCCCCTTTAACGCGTTTTCAATTTGTGGCACTTTTTTCGCCGGTGTTTGACGGCTGCTGGTTTGTATGTGTCTTTGTATGCTTCGCACTCGTTTCGGATAGGGGCTGCTACGGAGGCGGCCAGGTGGGAGCTGTCGGAGGATGTGGTGAAGCGCATTGGTAGGTGGGATTCCCAGAGATTTCGCCTGTACGTTCGGCCGCATTTGTTGCGGGCTTAGTGTGCGGTCCTGTGTTTTGTTTGTTTGGGTTGTGGGAGGTTGTTGCGGTTCTGTCCCTGTGCTGTATTGTTCTGGCGGTATTGTTTCTTTTCTTTCAGGTGGAGCGGTGTGCCTGGTGTGGATCCTGGGTCACTCGTATGTGTTTTGGGGGGCCAGGCGGGCTGATGTTCAGCCCAATGGCAGGCAGCTGGGGTTGGATAGACGGGAGGTTTGTGTCCGCTGGTTAGGTGTGCCGGGCATGTTGTGGAGTTGTGTCGTGCCAGAGGTGCGGCGTTTTGCTCGGCTGGATAGGCCACCGGATGTGTTGGTTATTCACGCGGGTGGCAACGATTTGGGGGGTAGGTCCATGCGGGAGCTGGTTAGAGATGTAAAGCTGGATTTTCTTCAGTTGCGGCGTGAGTTTCCGGGGATGGTGGTGGTGTGGTCTGACATGGTCGCCCGCACTTCTTGGCGCTTGGCGCGGTCGGTGGAGTGGCTCAACAGGGCAAGGATTAAGGTCAACCGGGAGGTGGGGCGCTTTTTTAGTCGCAACGGAGGATTGGTGGTCCGGCATGTGGAGTTGGAGGTGGATACTTGGCGGTACCTTCGCAGTGATGGAGTGCATTTGAATGCGGTGGGCACGGATTTGTGGTCCCTGGAGCTGCAGGACGGCATACTACGGGCGGTTCGTTTGTGGCGTGGCACGCATGGGTAAGGGCTTACCCAGTGTGCTGTGGCGGTTGTTGGTCTATGGAGGCGGTTCTCATCTTGGAAGGAAAACAATGGTGTGGGACCCCATCCATGGTATGGGGGGCCGGTGGATATTCCCAGTTAACCAAGGTTTAACTAGAAGGTGATGGTGCTGCACTGCGGACGGTATGGTTGCCACCGAGCTGGTTGGTTGCGGCTGGAGGCCTAGTGTATAGGGTTGTCCGCAGGTGCATTTTGGATCGTTTGTGGGTGCCTTTGAAGACCAACAACAATTCTTTGGTTTCCGTTAAGGAACGGTTGATGTATGTTAAAATGGGAAGTTGTTAATAAAAGGACATGTTGGGCCTTTACTCCAAAATGGTGTCATGTTTTTGTAAAGTTTATTTGGTTAAAGGGGGGTTAGGAGTGGTATGGATAGGCAATGGTGGAAGTAGGAGTGGACAAGCCTATCTATGGTGCATTAGTCAAGAAATGCCCGTAGCGAATAGGGAAGAATGGAAATAGCGCAGGGCATACATGACTAGGCCCAGAGTGGTGTAGGGAACGGAAAGGGTTAAAATTTAGCTCCAAGGGGTGGGGAATTGATTGGGAATTACGGGATTGGCAGATGTGGAGTGTAGGAGGGGTCTGTGGCACCGTAGGGTGGGGGTTGCTGCGGAAGGGGCGTCAGTGGAGCTGGATGGGTGCAAGGACCAGAGCTTCCCTCCCGCCCTCCCTGTTAGGTTGGGTATAGGGTCTTGTCCGGGGGCAGGTGAGCAGAAAAATCAAAAAAAAAAAAGAAAGGTGACACTGGTTGGAGAGGTGGGTTTTTTCTGTTGGTTCATGGGCGGTTGTTGGTCTTTGGAGGCGGTTCTCATCTTGGAAGGAAAACAATGGTGTGGGACCCCATCCGTGGTATGGGGGGCCCGGTGGATATTCCCAGTTAACCAAGGTTTAACTGGAAGGTGGTGGTGCTGCACTGCGGACGGTATGGTTGTCTCCGAGCTGGTTGGTTGCGGCTGGAGGCCTAGTGTATAGGGTTGTCCGCAGGTGCATTTTGGATCGTTTGTGGGTGCCTTTGAAGACCAACAACAATTCTTTGGTTTCCGTTAAGGAACGGTTGATGTATGTTAAAATGTGAAGTTGTTAATAAAAGGCCATGTTGGCCATTTACTCCAAAATGGTGTCACGGTTTTTTGTAAAGTTTATTTGGTTAAAGGGGGGTGTGGAGGGGTATGGATAGGCAATGGTGGAAGTAGGAGTGGACAAGCCTATCTATGGTGCATTAGTCATGAATAATTAGACTCACCTGTAGTTGAATTCTTGTTAATTAGAATTTTGTTGTGTAAAATTTAGCTTTGCTCCTAAGACTTTCATTGGGGTGAATTCATTTTTGCAACATGGTCTTGAATGAATTTGTTAGGACAATACTTTTTTGTGTGTGCAAATCAGCAAATCTTGTTTGCAATCAATGGCTGGCATTTGTGGGAGTATTTTGTAGTATAGTGTCCCATTGAAAATATTGATTATGAAAGGAAAGTAAAGGTTTACTGACAAATCTGTTGGGGGTGTACTCATTTATGGTATTAAGCTATGGTGATCATATTCCCCCTTATGTATTATACATGGAGATCATATCCCCCCTTATGTATTATACATGGCGATCATATCCCCCCTTATGTATTATACATGGCGATCATATCCCCCCTTATGTATTATACATAGAGATCATAGCTCCCCTTATGTATTATACATGGAGATCATATCCCCCCCTTATGTATTATACATGGAGATCATATCCCCCCCTTATGTATTATACATGGAGATCATATCCCTCCTTATGTATTATACATGGAGGTCATATCCCCCCTTATGTATTATACATGGTGATCATATCCCCCCTTATGTATTATACATGGAGATCATATCCCCCTTATGTATTATACATGGTGATCATATCCCCCTTATGTATTATACATGGTGATCATATCCCCCCTTATGTATTATACATGGAGATCATATCCCCCTTATGTATTATACATGGAGATCATATCCCTCCTTATGTATTATACATGGAGATCATATCCCCCTTATGTATTATACATGGAGATCATATCCCCCCTTATGTATTATACATGGAGATCATATCCCCCTTATGTATTATACATGGAGATCATATCCCCCTTATGTATTATACATGGAGATCATATCCCCCCTTATGTATTATACATGGTGATCATATTCCCCCTTATGTATTATACATGGAGATCATATCCCCCCTTATGTATTATACATGGAGATCATATCCCCCCTTATGTATTATACATGGAGATCATATCCCCCTTATGTATTATACATGGAGATCATATCCCCCCTTATGTATTATACATGGAGATCATATCCCCCCTTATGTATTATACATGTTGATCATATCCCCCCTTATGTATTATACATGGAGATCATATCCCCCTTATGTATTATACATGGAGATCATATCCCCCCTTATGTATTATACATGGAGATCATATCCCCCCTTATGTATTATACATGGAGATCATATCCCCCTTATGTATTATACATGGAGATCATATCCCCCCTTATGTATTATACATGGAGATCATACCCCCCCTTATGTATTATACATGGAGATCATATCCCCCCTTATGTATTATACATGGAGATCATATCCCCCTTATGTATTATACATGTAGATCATATCCCCCCTTAATCTCCTCTTCTCAAGAGAGAATACATTCAGTTCCTCTAATCTTTCCTCATAGCTGAGCTCCTCCATGCCTCTATCAGTTTGGTTGTCCTTCTCTGTACTTTCTCCAGTTCCCCAATGTTCTTCTTTGTGAATTGTTGAACACGTTGAATGAAGGGATATTGGCCCCTCCTTGGATGTCACCACAGGACTATACATACACAGTTACTTCCCACTGACATCAATGAACTATTTATTACAGGAACCTACATACTGTAAATTTTTTTCAGTGCTTCACATATATATATAGTACATTCACATCAGTCCCTGCCTTCAAGGAGTGTACAATCTAGGTTCCCTAACTCACATTCATACATACACATACTAGGGCCCAATCTGCCAATGCAGAGCTTCTGCGAAAGCTCTGGAGCACCAGTGGCGTCCCTAGGCGCTTGAGGAGCGTTAAATACGCCACTCGAACGCCTGCAAATGCCTGGTTACAAAATTAGTCTGAACTGAGCCTAACTCACATTCATACATACACATACTAGAATACTAGAACAATAAGTTCTGGATAGGCTGTGGCAAGTGTAAAGGGTTCCCATGATGCGTGTTCTAAGAATGAATGGCTTATAACTAAATAGGCTCTGCTGTTTCAGTGGCAATATGCAGATGCCTGTAGTATCATTTTCGTAAGTGTTTTTTTCGTTAGTGAGAAGACAGTGTCTCGCTGGAGGCTATTAGAAGATATCCTATTTTTTCTCCTGCTACAATTCTTGTATGCCTACTGTCACTATTGCTATGGTCATTTTCATTGTACCTGTGTCATTTATGCTTGTATAACATTTTGCTGACTCTTTCCAATAAAACTGGATTAAAACACATACTAGGGCCAATTTAGACAGGAGCCAATTAACCTACCAGCATGTCTTTGGGGTGTGGGAGGAAGCCCACACAGGCACAGGGAGAACATGCAAGCTCCAGGCAGGTAGTGTCATGGTTGAGATTTGAACCAATGACCCTAGTCCTGCTTACTAGGATTTCAAACTGGTGGCCCTCCAGCTGTTGCGAAACTACAAGTCCCATCATGCCCCTGCCTTTGGGAGTCATGCTTGTAACTGTCAATCTTGCAATGCCTCCTGGGACTTGTAGTTTGGCAACAACTGGAGGGCCGCCAGTTTGACACCTGTGTTAGGTGGAAGTGCTAATCACAGGTGTCAAACTGGCGGCCCTCCAGCTGTGGCCAAACTACAAGTCCCATGAGGCATTGCAAGATTGACAGTTACAAGCATGACTCCTAAAGGCAGAGGCATGATGGGACTTGTAGTTTCGCAACAACTGGAGGGCCACCAGTTTGACACCCCTGTGCCAACTAAAAGTGCAGGCAGGGCACAAGACAAAGCACTAGGGACAAAATGTATGTTAAATGGTTTGATACAATAATGGAATCCTAACAGATTACAATGTATTGTGTGTATGTCATGTTTTTACTTTTTTGAATCTCCCACTGGTTCCGGAAGACGGATGCCGGCATCGGCCGGAGGACACAGCAGGAGGACATCGGCCGGAGGACACTGCGGAAGGACATCGGCCGGAGGACACAGTGGGAGGACATCAGCCGGAGGACACAGTGGGAGGACATCGACCGGAGGACACAGCAGGAGGACATCGGTCGGAGGACACTGCGGGAGAGGACATCGGCCAGAGGACACTGCAGGAGGACATTGGCCAGAGGACACTGCGGGAGGACATCGGCCGGAGGACACAGCAGGAGGACATCGGCCGGAGGACACAGTGGGAGGACATGGGCCGGAGGACACAGTGGAAGGACATCGGCCGGAGGACACAGTGGGAGGACATCAGCCGGAGGACACTGTGGAAGGACATCGGCCGGAGGACACAGTGGGAGGACATTGACAGGAGGACACAGTGTGAGGACATCAGCTGGAGGACATCGGCCGGAGGACACAGTGGGAGGACATCGACCGGAGGACACAGTGTGAGGGCATCGGCTGGAGGACATCGGCCGGAGGATACAGTGGGAGGACATCAGCTGGAGGACACAGCAGAAGGACATCGGCCAGAGGACACAGTGGGAGGACATCAGCCGGAGGACACAGTGTGAGGACATCGGCTGAAGGACATCGGTCGGAGGACATAGTGGGAGGACATCGACAGGGGGACACAGTGTAAGGACATCAGCTGGAGGACACAGCAGAAGGACATCGGCCAGAGGACACAGTGGGAGGACATCAGCCGGAGGACACAGTGGGAGGACATCAGCCGGAGGACACTGCGGAAGGACATCGGCCGGAGGACACAGTGGGAGGACATCGACAGGGGGACACAGTGTAAGGACATCGGCTGGAGGACATCGGCTGGAGGACATCGGCCGGAGGACACACTTTGTATTACCGTTAGGTAGGTTAACATACCATATCTAACCTAGGTTCACACCTATGCAGGTTGCATTTGATGCATTTCTGCACTGCATTTTTGCACTTGCGTTTTTGATGCGTTTTTTTTTTTTTTCTTGTTGCTAGGCCTATTTTAAATGCAAAACGCATCAAAAACGAATAAAAAACACTTCACAAACACAATAAATGCTTTTCTGCAGCGTTCCCATTGAAGTCTATAGAACCAAAAAGGCAACATTTCGCGTTCCAAAAAACGCATCGGGTGGAAACACGGAGATGTGAACCTGTCCCATAGGAAATCATGTTAAATGGACTGTGCTGTGTTTCAGCAAAATGCTGCAGAAAACTCCACCTGATGGTCACCCAACCTTTGCTATTCAACTTTGAAATATTCCATATGTATAAAGTCTATGGTCCATATAGGATCCAATAGAAAGTTCTGAGTTAGTGGCCCAATGTCCCAGAGATAAGCCAACTCTGTACTGGAAACATATAAGAGAGAAGGAAGCTTAGTGCATTGGGTAAAAATGTTTAATTTCACGTCGGTAATAAAAGCTTACAAGATTGTGTGAAACCCACAATCTCCTGATGATGTCATATGACGAAACATGTAGGGCGGGGCTTGAAAGCGCTTCACTTCTGAGAAGGAATTTTTTTTTGCTGGGATTTAAATTGCCATACACATGGTTTTTATGTAAGTGTAATATTAAACGCTTCTTACCTAATAAATATGGTGTTACGCTATGGAAATTTCCCTTTGATGTTTTTGTGTGTGGTGGAGGACTACTGTGAATGTTCTGGAGGAGTTTTGTCACAAAGGATTATCTAGAGGTGTTTCCACTATGGAGACTGTCATCAGCGTATAGAGGTGTCAAGACCACACGGACGGCCAACTTTCCTGCAGGAGAGCACTGCAACATCTTATGCAGGGTCTGGGAGACCCGATATAGTGAATGCAGAGTCCGGGGAGACCAGATATAGTGAATGCAGGGTCCAGGGAGACCGGATATAGTGAATGCAGGGTCCTGGGAGTCCAGATATAGTGAATGCAGGGTCCTGGGAGACCAGATATAGTGAATGCAGGGTCCGGGGAGACCAGATATAGTGAATGCAGGGTCCGGGGAGACCAGATATAGTGAATGCAGGGTCCGGGGAGTCCAGATATAGTGAATGCAGGGTCCGGGGAGACCGGATATAGTGAATGCAGGGTCTGGGGAAGAGACCAGATATAGTGAATGCAGGGTCCGGGGAGACCGGATATAGTGAATGCAGGGTCCGGGGAGACCGGATATAGTGAATGCAGGGTCCAGGGTTTAGTAACACTGTAAATTGCACTTGTCCAGAAGATTTTACCCCTTTCATGACCAGGGCATTTTTTTGCTATATGGCACTTTAACTGAAAATTGCTTGGTCATGCAACGCTACACACAAATTAAATTTATATCCTTTTTTCACACAAATATAGTTTTCTTTTGGTGGTATTTGATCAACACAGTTTTTTTTTTTTACTTTTTTTTTGCGCTATAAACTAAAAAAGACTGAAAATTTAGAAAAAACAATTTTTGTTTTACTTTTGGCTGTAAAATGTATCAAAATAAAAAAATAAATACAATTTCATAAATTTAGGCCAAAATGTATTCTGCTACATGTCTTCAGTAAAAAAAAATCCCAGTAAGTGTATATTGATTGATTGATTAGCTGATACTAATAACGTGGCATTATTCCTCCCACAAAGTCTGAGGCATTTTTTGTTGTTCACTGACAGTAAACCGGACCTCTGTTTAGAAAGTTTGGAGACTACTGCTTTAAATGATTCCTTACTTACAATGAAATCACTACTCTGACGAGTAAATAAACAGGCCCAGATGTCTCTGACTTGACACTTCACAGCTCTTCAGTGCTTTTCGGCAACAGTGAAATGTCATTGTTTTAGGGAAATGTTACCTCTGTATCCTCCCTTGAAACATCTTAGCATTTGCTTTAATTGACTTCCTATGTAAATGTGCAAATCATCTGCAAATGACACTTTGAGTTGCTATTTTATGATATATATATATACAAAGCCTACCTGGGAATGTCATTCATTCTTTGCAGAAGTTTAGTGAAGATTCTGCAAGTTGATCTTTGCAGGCTATGTAACTGGAGAAGACCTTTAGCTCCCTCTTCTGGTAGTTTTGGGGAACTGTTCAATGCCAATACACGCGCTATAGTTTTGTGATATTATTATTATTATTATTATACAGTACTTATAAAGCGCCAATAGTTCACTCAGCGCTGTACATTACAAAGGGGGACAGAACATGTGACAGAACAATACCAATACAATGCAAAACATGAGGGGATTGAGGGCCCTGCTCTTTCGAGCTTACAATCTAGAAGGGATGGGATAGTGGTACAGGAGGAGATAGCTGTGGGGGATGGAGTGGTAGGAAGAGTGGAGGAGGTCAGCAAGTTAGCAGGGGGTGAGGTAGGCTTCCCTGAAGAGATGGGTTTTCAGGGTGCGCCTAAAGGAGAGGAGAGTAGGTGATAATCTGATGGGTTGGGGAAGGGAGTTCCAGAGGATGGGTGACACCCTGGAGAAGTCCTGGAGGCGGGCATGGGAGGAGGAGACCAGGGAACTAGAGAGAAGGAGGTCTTGTGATATAAATCCTGACAGTGCATTCACCACCTGAGTCCCAAGACCTTTTCTCTCTAAAGCAGGTCATACATGGGTCGAATTCAGACCGATTTTTCGATCGAAAATGTAGTTCGTTCTGTAATCCTATGGTGCCACCAAAGATTTTGAAAATCGGTTGTTTTTAAACAAACTTTCCAACATGCCCGATAAACGAAATGGGGAGGAACCACGAAAATCGGCCGGTGCCATTGCCCCACTAACAGAGTGAAAATTAGTCAATTGTTCTTAGGTCCGATTTTCGAATGAAAAATCGTTCGGAAATCGACCCACACAGGGCGGACCTGCTTAGTGGATCAGTATTCTCGGTGGGGGATCTCTTCCAAGACACAGACACAGAGTTGCTCGCTCTCCTCAATGAACGGTCGGATGAAAGCGGACTGCCTATCTGTTTTCATCCGATCCGATCTGACAGATGGAAGGGGAATTGGATCCCCATCTGTCCCTTTTTGGCAGATCGGATATCGACGCGTGTAAACGGACACATGTCCGCTTACACCCATCACTCCATAGAGGAGTGTGACAAGAGTGACTTTGGGTGGGGGGCCCATGGAAAACAGCTCACGTTGGAGGGGTGGGGAGACCCCTGTCTCAACTCCCCATATCCCTCCTGTGCAGGGACTGACCATTTGGAAACTCGGGCACTGCCCGAGGGCCCAGTGTCAGTAGTGGACCCAATGAGATGCCTTTGGTACCTTTTTCATAGGCTTTTTTGAGTTTGGGCAAGGACACAGGGGCCCCATGATCCCCTATTGCCCGGGAGCCCCATGAGTTGTCAGTCCGCCCCTGCTCCTATGTGTAAGTCACCCTGTGCCTGTTAGGGGTACAGGGTGGAATGTCCTGATATTGTGTAGACATGTATAGGTGGGGTGTGGGGATTGTTCATTGTCTACTGCCATGTGGTGCATCCCATTGTTCTATTGTGTTTTGCTTGGGAGCATTTTCTGCCACGTTTTGCAGAAACACAGTACAGTCCATTTAAGATGATTTCCTATGGGACAGGTTCACATCTCCGCGTTTTTACTCAGTGCGTTTTTGGAAAGAGTCAGGGACTTTTTTTTTACGCAAAATGTTATGTTTTTGGTTCTATAGACTTCAATGGGAATGCTGCAGGAAAGCATTTATTGCGTTTTTGCTGCATTATTGCTGCATTTTTGCCACATTTTTGTTGCGTTTTTAATATGTCTTGCATTTTAAATCTGCCTAGCAACAAGAAAAAAAACGCAAAATGCATAAAAAAACGCAAGGCAAAAGCACGTAAAAATGCAAGTGCAAAAACACAAACTGCAATGGTAACCCTAG